AGTGTACGATCACGCTTGAGGATGTTTCTATGCATCTGGGGCTTCCGGTGGATGGAGATGTGATATCGGGGATAGCTTCTAGTTCTTGGACTACTTTGTGTCGGGATAGTCTAGGACGTGTACCGGAAAATTTTATCGGAGGTAGGATACCGTTAAATTGGTTAAATGCCAATTTTCGGGAGTTGAGCGCAGACGCCTCTGAGGATGAGGTTAAGATGTATGAACAGGCATGCATACTGCAGTTGATAGGAGGGTTGCAGATGCCGGACAAATCGCGCAACCTAGTTCACTTCATGTGGTTGCGACATCTTAGCGACTTTCGTCTCGCCGGATCATTCAGTTGGGGCTCGACAGTTTTGGCTTTGCTGTACAGGGAGATGTGTGGAGCCACTGACTGCAGACGTAATGCTATCGACGGATGTCTCCTGCTGCTGCAATCTTGGGCATGGTATCGATTTCCCTTTTTATGTCCTGTTGTGAAGAACCCATTCGTATTTCCACTACTTCTGAGGTAATTATAAAACTGATTTTGTATATTAATAATTTTATACAGCGTATAACAAATATTTTTCCATGAATAGGTGGTCTACTGATAGGAAAAATCATCAGGAGCTACCTGATGATTTAGAAAAAATTAGGGTGCTAATCGATTAGAAGGCTGGCACACAGGTATGAATTTTAATGTTTAAAAATCGATTTTAGATTATACTTATATAATTAGATTATTATTTTGATAAAAATTATATATTATTTGTTTTAGTTTGAATGGGTGCCATATTCTACTGATGATGTGAGGGCGGTGATCCCACCTGAGTTGAGGGGTCCATTAGATGTTTGGATGGCGATGGTCCCTCTGATCTGTTATGCGACCGTCGAGTGGCACTCCACTGAACGCGTGCTCCGGCAGTTTGGTTGTTTTCAACCAATTCCGGAAGCACCTCGCAATATGGACGAGTTGCATAGCTTAGATAGACGCGGCAAGACAGATACAGATTGGCTGGTGAGGCATCATGGGTGGGTCGTGTTGTGGGAGGATCGACATCGGCGCCTTGCCCGTAGAGAGCCCATTTTTGATGACCTCTTAATGTATGCTGAGGATTATTATGAGTGGTTCAACAGTAACGGGAAACAGTTTCTACTACCCGAGGATGCACGAGGGCAGACCTTTCCACGACGTCGACAGAGATGTTCACCGACACAGCACCATCGTCCCCCGACTCGTGGACGGAGAGTAGGTGCTTCCGGTTCATCCTCAACTGCACCAGCAGGACCTTCCCAGCAGCCACCGCAACCATATATGATGCTGCCATCGCCTTTCCATTACCAGATGCCGCCGCCACCACCTTCACCTGGTTTTATGACCCCGTCACCGCCACAGATGACCCCTACTGGAGGCTATTATGGGTCTATGTTTGTAGATCTGACTTGGGGTTCATATACTGGATATTTGGCGGGTTCATCCTCATCACCCATGGCCGCAGCACATACACTTCATGTACAGTTTTCACACTCAGCGATGTCTGGGTTTTCTCAGTTTTCCCAGTTTTCGCATGCCGGTGGGATAGTCAGTCATACACCTCTAGGGTCCTTATTCTATGGAGGTGCTTCATCGTCATCAGCTCCTCATCAACCTGATGTACCTGCTCAGGACGACGACGATGACGATGATGACGATGACGATGGTGACGACGACGATGATGATGACAGCGAGGAGTTAGAACCAGTGATACGAAGAAATCCTCCTCGAGACCGACAACCACCGCCATGCGGAACACATTCGCGACGCAGGCATCGATAGATTTTTTTATTATATTTGTATTTACTTTATTTTGTTTAATTGTAATTTTTTATTATTTACCATTTAATTCTTATTGTAAGTTTGTTGTATTTAAATATCAAATTGTTATTAGTTTGATAAAATGTAATAATAGTGTTCGTTTTTTAATCTTCATCGGCGATTATTTGAATGACATTAACTTGAAGTAAATGCAAATCAAAATACAAGAATTATTATTTGATAAACAAATACATCATTTCCTCAGCGATTATATATGAACGAAAATATAACACAATAATTTTTTTACACATCAACGTAAATAATTTAAATAATATAATTTTATATTATTACCTGCACCACAAAACTATTTCGACGTATGCTCCCGCTTTTCAATTTTACAAACATAAAAATTAATTAAAAATAATTAGTATAATATTTTTTCAAATAATGATAATAAACAATAAGTATAATTAAAAAATTATAACAAAATTACCTTATAACGAAAAATCGTACGAACTTCTAAGTCAAATTTGAGAAGATTGCGAGAATTATTACTCGTTGACGGAATTGTTGTATTAATTTATAAGAGAGGAGAGATGCGAGGATATATGAGCCGGAGGAGTGTATTTATAAGCATATAAGGCGCGGTACATGCACCGCGCTATATGTAATTATTCAAAAGATATAGCGCGGATCAGGGATCGCGTTAAATATAATTTCGGTGTATAGCGTGGATCAGTGGGCGCACTATACCCACGTGGCGTCAGATCACCGTATATCGTAGGGCAGGGGGCGCGCTATACCACGAGACGCCAAATCAGCATATAACGAGGTGCAGGGGGCGCGCTTTTCTGCTAAGGGTGTTAGATCAGGAAATATAATCTGATCTGTATTAGATCGATAATAATACCGATCACTGATGATATACCGAAAAAATAACCTAAATATTAAATCCATCAATTAAATTTATTCTTTTTCGAACACACTGTTCTAAAGATAGGCTCTAGTGGAGCCGTCCGAGACTGTAAAGGTAATTGGTTGGTTGGCTTTCACAGAACTGTTGGAATTACAACGCTCCTATAAGCTGAGCTATGGACTATTCTTCTCGGTTTGAAAATTGCTTGGACCATGATTTTGAATTGCTCTTGGTCCAATCGGATAGTACAGATGCCGTTAATCTTGTTGTAAATTCTAATTGTTGGACGAGTTCCCATGAGTTGGTACGTTCCATTCATAAACTTCGTCAACGATTTTGGGTGATAGATATCACTTAGAGAAACTAATAAACTTGCTGATGAATTGTCAAATGACGTTCGCATTTTCCATACGAGATTATACTCCTTTCTTCGCCACCATCGTTCATGCAGGATCTTTTTAGCCGCGGTGTAAAGAGTCCTCCCTATTGTAAATCAGTCCCTACTTAGTGTTCATGGTTTTAGCCTTTTATTTTAAAAAAATCATGTTAACTTATTGTATTAATATATATAATTTATTTTATATTTTAACTCTTTAAATTAAATAATATTTTATTAATTTAATATTTTATTTTTAAACTTAATTAAACAATAATTTAAAGTTATTAAATTATTTTGTAGCCATTTCTTTCAATCTTAGACTATTTTTACTTTCAAAATAGATCTTGAAAACTTTCGCATCAGATTTTTTTTTATTAATTTAGAGTAAATATAATATAATTTATATTTAAAGAAAACTCTCAATCACTTCAAAGAATAACAATAATTCATTTATCACTGAGGTCAATTGGCTTATGCATCTTTCAAATAAGGAAGGGCCATATCTTGTATTTTTTTTATTTAACCTCAAGAATGACTTTCTATAACCATATCCAATATACATATATTTTTTTCATATCTGATAAACATATATTGTATAAAATTGAGAAACTCGACTCAAATTTAAAAACTAATTATTAAAAATTTTGAATTATTCAATCTCTATTTTATAACTCAAATTTTATTTGAAATATTTTCAAAACGAGTCAATTTTATGAATTTAAATTGAATCAAGTAAGTATCTTTTTATTATTGAGTCAAAAATTTGAATTTTTTTTAGTAACTCAATTTTTTTGTATAACCACTGATTTCTGATTTATTGATCGACAAATATGGATCAAGACTGTAAAAGCGAGGACGACTCTCCCGACCTAGTTTATTACATTCGCAAACGCTAGGATTCCAACTCCTGACCTTGCTTAAGAGATTCAATGTCTCATCCAATTTGACCAACTGATTGTTGGTTAATAAGTCAAATTTTATTCACTCCTATTTATTGTTAATCATTTTGGTTGAATCTTAGATGCTTTTGTCTTTATTGTGTAAAGGGATATATATATATATATATATATATATATATATATATATATATATATATATATATATATATAAAGGTTAGGATCCAATTACATAATGTAGTACGAACCAAGTGACTTCTATGGTAAAGAAATTATTATTATTCATTTAGGATTCAGGTTCGAGCACCATACATACTAGGGGTGTGAGCGTTCAATATCGAAAGGTTAAGAGTTATCTTTGAACATATACTGTCTAATACTTATCCCATATTAATAAAAAAATTACATAATGTAAAACTAAAAAGTTTTACACCTTTTTAAGATCGTTAGATAAGAGGGAGTCGAAAGTTAAGATATCTCCTCATCTAATGATCCCAAAAGGGTATAAAATTAAAAGTTTTACACTTGTGTAAGTGAATTCTAACACACACACATATATAAAATTTAAAATTTTGTTTTGAGATCTAGATCATTTATTATAATACACGTGAAACTTGTTATATCTACACAATGAATTTTATAAAATATATTATAAAATTAGAAATCAACATGCAGACTGGACAAAAATTGTATGAAACTATATACTGAATTCCAATTATTCAATATATGTTATAAAACTCGTCATTTTACATGATGAGTTTGAAAACCACTATAACAAATGAGCTAGATTCTAAATTAATTTGTTAATACTTATATTTTCCATTTTTTTCATCTGGATTATGTGCCCAATGGAGCTAGATATATCGCCATTAACTGAGATGAATTGTCTTCCAATTTGCAGCACTCTTTCAAACCTTTTTTTTTCATTTTTAAATTTATTTAAAAATCTCAAATTATTTATTCATGCCATTGGATAAAATGAAATTCTACATACCATGTAGAAGTAATATCGATTTTCCACATGCAGAACTAAAGAAGTAACGTCTACATTTTTTAAACGTTTAAATGCTTTATAAAACATTGCTGCCAGCAACTAGGCAATGATCTTAACGCTAACATATTTAAACGACAGCAATTTACTATATGTGGTATGGTATGCAACGAAGGGGAACATGATTAGCCCCTTGGATTATTCTACTCCTAAGCTTATTCTTCAGCAGGAGGGTCTATCCATCGGCCATGATCTTTTATTAGCTGTATCAGAGCTTCGGTTGCATGCTCCATCGCAATTCCGCGTTTCACAACAGTCTGAATAAACAATCCATATACAGGTTAGCTTCAGAAAACGGATCCGAAAATCCATGTATTCATGTTGTTTTCTCATATTGTATCTAAGTTGCATACACGCACACATATAGTACCTTGCCTACATAGAGGTCAATTTTTCCAGGAGCACCACCGACGTATCCAAAATCTGCATCAGCCATTTCTCCTGGACCGTTGACGATGCAACCCATAATTGCAATCTGGAAGAAGAGTTCACATTATTGATTTCGTGCTCAAAATAGATCGATGATTATATTAACTCAAAACTATTATTCAATCTGTGACTGGACACTGAGGACCAGTCATTACCGAAACGCCAGGCAGGTGTGACGTCTTTTCTCGTATTTGTGCACTTATTTCTTGAAGGTCAAACAAAGTTCTGCCGCAAGATGGGCATGAGACATACTCCTGCAACCAGAATGGATGCGATATTAGATATATATCCAAAGATTGTTGTGGTTTTTCAACTTAGATGAGATTCATACTGTCTTCGTATTCCTCATTCTGCAGCCCTGTAGTAAGTTGAAAGAAGTGTTTCTGAGGAAATTGAAATCTTGGTCTGGGGCTTCTAACAAGATACCATCTCCAAGTCCATCCACCAGAAGGGCTCCAGCATTGGTACCGGCATTAATGGCCAGATCATCCCTGCATGTCAGAAAAACGTTAAAAACCAAAACCTATAAATACATCAATCAACAAGTGGTACGGGGCTTTTTTATTACCTGTGAGTCCCATTTGGAAACTGGATATGGTGGATTACAGGGAAATCAAGACTATTCTCGGATAGATACTCAAATAACCTGCGGAAGAACATAGTTTTCAAACATTGGAATCATGGAATGGCATGCAATGGGTGGCAGAACCATAAAAGTAAAGGGAATTAGGATAATTAGAATAGCACAAGCTTATGACAAATAAGCAAATCAGGTCATTAGTATATTACCTCCTTGCTGCATGCACTCGGCCAATCTTATCTTCACCGTAGGGTACATTGTGAAGAAGCATTGTAGCCTCATGGTCTTTGAGGGTTTCCAACTCTTCGTAGGGCTCATCGCCGCGTACAGATACAGCCAGACGCGTACCTGCACAGCGAATGAATTGATATCATATGAGAAAAGAAGAATAAATGAGGAATAACAATCCATGAGTTCAAAACTTAATATTAAAAATAAGCAGCAGCACCTTCTGGCAAAAGCTTGTAAGCTCCAGTCGATAGTTCCTTAAGATTTACCAGAGCAATAGCATTAGGCAATGGCTTTATTAGCTGCTCCGATAAAGGTGTTATGACACCCATGCTTATGTCTATCAACCGTTTAAGAGCCAGCCGCTGTTATAGTACAATGGACAGCATCCATTATTTCCAAAATTTTGTGAAGGGTTGAGAGATAGCGGGAGAAAGGACAAGAAGTTGGATTCTTACCGCATCACTGTCATCTACAGGTGGAAGCTCTCTCAGTATGATTGAGTCCACCGTTGCCAAGTCCTGCATCGACATATTACAAGACAGTTGTGACAAAAGCCCACATAATATACTCAAATCTTAATATCGTAAATGGATCAAGGGTAGACCTTAAATGGCATTCCAACAACCAGCTTTGCTGCAAGGGACTTGTATAAGAGTTCTGGTGCCTGCAGATGTGGGAAAAGGAATTACTGAATTTCTCCGCCATCTCAAATAAGGAAGTTAGTGTGAATAAGTTACCTTCAACTGATCCAAGGTAACAGACATAAGAACCGAGCCATCACGATGCAAGACACCTCTATAATCCACATCTTCACCCTATAGAAGAAATAAATCCTCCATTCAGAACAGTTCAGGAACTGGGTTAGCTAACACGTTGATACTGAGACAATCATGACTAACCTCCTTTTGTGTTGGCAATTGACCAGATCGACGCTGGAAATCAAAGTAATGTCTGAGCTTTTCCTCAAATGGTGCCTGATGAAATTTTGACATGTAAAGAAAAGTTCTCAAAAAAACAGCACTTGAAGTGATAGAACATGTTGTCTAGTTAATCAAAGTTTTCGAATCCTACCACCCCTTGCTGAAGTTCGGCAGCTTTCATACCAAGGTTAACCAGCCTTCTGCATGGATCTATCTCTTCCTCAGGTGGCTCGGTGAGTGAAACTCTGATAGTGTCACCTAAACCATCCTGCAAGTATAAGACCATATCATCAACAAATGAGCCAGACTTGTCGAACACATTTTTAAAATCACCATGAAAACTTTTATGGCAATTTCTTCCATTGACTATGTTATATATATATATATACTGTGAAGCTACCTGCAGGAGGGTCCCAATCCCAATCGCAGATTTGATCCTCCCATCCTCACCTTCTCCAGCTTCAGTGACTCCCAGATGTAGTGGATAATCCCAGCCATGAACGTACATTTCAGCGACGAGCAGCCGGTATGCCTGGACCATGACAACTGGATTACTTGCTTTCATTGAGAAGACGAAATTGTGGTAGTCCAACTTTCTACATATCCTAGCAAACTCGAATGCAGATTCAACCTGTTTTACGGGGGAAAATCAATTAATTGAATGCACAGGACTACAAAATGCACTTGAAAGCTGTCAGGCAGTGAGAGAGAAGATAAATGTTCACCATTCCCCGAGGAGAATCCCCATAGTAGCTCATTATACGGTCAGACAGGCTCCCATGGTTGGTTCCAATACGCATCGCCCTTCCATACTTCTTACATTTTTCAACCAATGGAGTAAAAACCTGTTGTTGTTCACGGGGGAAGGCTGGTCAATAAGCATGGGGAAATTGATACATGCTTAAAGAGTCACAGTGAGAAATTATATACAACTGAATTAGTTATTAAATTTTTAATATGTTTCACCCTAAACCAACTAAATACCAAGTGATACATGATTGAATTTGAAACTAAAAGAAGAGTAGTCTAACCTCCTCAATATGCTCAAGTTCTTTCTGATACTCCTCATCCGTATATTCTAGTTGCTCAAACTGAGCCCTTCTATCAGCTGCAATTTACCACACTTTTTATTCAGAATAGCTGAAACCAAAATCTAAAAACAAAAATGATTTTACATCGAATTACTCACCAAAATTTCCAGGGTTGACTCGAATTTTATCAAAGCACTCGGCAACTCTTAATGCAACAGAAGGAGAAAAATGGATATCTGCCACCAGAGGTATATTATAACTGCATGAACAATAATTAGTGATAGTATTAGTTTCCATATTAAATATGCGACTGAACCTTGAAAAAGTGACAACTAATTCTTACAAAGAACGAGACGTACTTTTTCTGCACCAGGGAGTTCTTTATTTCAAAACATGCATCGGCCTCTTTCTTCCCTTGAACAGTTATCCGGACAATATCCGCACCCTTGTCCGCAATTCTCATTATCTGTTAAAAAGACCACAGTAGTTAATTTCATAAGACTAATTCACAGCATAGCCATAAGGTAAGGAAACAAGAGCATCGCATTCTACACATGGAACACACATTGGATATAAGTCGCCAATCCAGACGGCTGGACAATGCAGAAGAGAATCCCAAACCCATTATTTGAACAGAGAAGAAAAAGCTTAAGCGGAAGGGAGAAGTCAATACCTCTTCCACTGTCCCAGCAACATCCTTAGTATCTGTCGTAGTCATTGTTTGAATCCGTATTGGATGCTGGCTACCAAGAGCCACGTTCCCGACCATTACCGTCCTAGTTTTTCTCCTGACGGTTTTGTATATGGATTCGCAGTACTTTTGCCTTGGAACTAAATTAAAACTGTTAGTCATAGGAGGCTCCTTAAAAAACCAATGGAGAATACTAAATCCTAAATAGAGTTGCATAGCTTAATCATAAGTAAAAAAAACATGGCATTTGTGCATCTGAATGTCATAAGAAAACTCAACATAATTCAGATTTCAGAACAATAGAAACTCAAGAGGGAAAAAAGGGGAACCAACCCTCTTTTCAACTAAGTTTTGTGGTATTATTAGTTTATTTAAAAGATCAACAAAAATTTCAGGAAATGGTGATTTTTTTAATAGTCAGGAGTGATCGGAAGGTAGTACTGTTAAGAATATTTCTTAAAAATTGACATCGTACATTCGCAAACACAGTTGCTCGAATAAACAAGGATAACACTTTCTTTTACCATGAGAACGGATTCAGTACATGGTGATTTTTAAATCCAAAATATAATTCCTCTTGAGGTGTTTGAGCTTTGTACCTAACAAAGGGCTCCCTTCTGATGCAGATTGAAGCTGAGCAGTATCCTGACTGGGATTCTGATTCCTAATCACAGAGATCCTTGTTTTACCAGACTTGGGTCTTTTCAAATCACAAAGTCTCACAAAATCCATACTTTTAGCAAATCCTAAGCCTGGCTCCTTGCTCTTCAAACCAGGAAACGAAGCTGGCACAGCTCCAGTCGCCATTTCTCAAAGCACAAAGCTTTCACCTTTACTGCCCAAAAGCACAAAACTCAATTTTATGAAAAGAAGAAGAAGAAAACATTAACCCAAAAATTCTTGAACCCAAAATTTAGTATTTGGAGACATATGAGATTGTTTGGCTCAAAGGAACCAAAGGTTTTCATTTAAAAAGAAAAAACTAACCAAAGGTTTTCATTTAAAAAGAAAAAACTATCTTTTATCAACCAGACAACATTAGAAGTACGGGCTTTTTCGTTCAGTGTATGATCATTAACTCAGTATGCAAATTTTAAGCCAAACGAAATTGCAGAAATCTACCTTGCAGAAGATGGGTTTCTTATAGAGAATTTTCGATTTGAAGCTGTTGAAGTATAAACTGAAAATCGATGAAGAGAAAGGTCTGGAGTTGCAAGAAATTAGTGGTGGGAAATGTTTGCAAGAATTTTCAGACAAAAAAGAGTAAGTGATTTTAGATTATCTAAGAGATTTATGTAGAGAAAAAAAATGAAATATATGGGATTTGGGAACATGACAAAACATTTGATGAGCATCTGATTATCGTTGGCCATGGAAAATATTTGCGATGCTGGTTATTTCACTTACGTATTATCTGATGTTAATCTTATGAACTTATTTTGTTTGAAATAATGTAAATATTCAGATTTAAAACCATGGATTTTTTTATAAAAAAATGGAATTGGTTTGGTAATATATATGATTTTTATTTTTATATCAAATGAAACCTAAAATTAAGTGGACAACAAAAAAATACTGAAATTCCAAATTAGAAATGGTTTAATTTTCATGGAAATAAATTTCTTTCCAAATAAATTATGTAAAAAAAAAGAACCTATCCATAATTAAATGCTTATGTGGTCACAGATAGTAAATGTTTAAAAAAAATAAACATTCAATTATGAGTACAGTAATAAAATATAGGCCGACCCTAAAGGCTTATTTATATCTATATAAATTAGAGTCGACTCTAACATAAAATAACTAAAATCTAAAAAAAAAGTATATTATTAAAATCAGTAATTAAATATATTTTTAAAATAATTATTTTCACTCTAATTTTTTAAAGAATGTTAACTCTTAATTTTTTTCTAAAATTATAATAGTCCCTTCAATTATTAAAATCTTTTGATAATTTGATTATATTTTATCATATAACAAAAAAAAAATGAATGCCCCTTGTTCTCATTTGACTGCAAAATTTCAACGGTATGAATAATGGGCGCAGCACAACATGAACACAGGGAAGTTCTATGATATAATAGTTTAATATAAGATTAAATAAAGAAATAATCGAAAATGTTATAAATAGATATAATATTTTAGATTGCGTATAATTTAAAATATTAATTTTTAATAGTTTTTGTATGTAAATCTTCTTTATAATATTTTAGATTGTAATTGAAAATATTATTTTTTTCGTAATAATTTTTATTAAGTCAAAAATATTAAAAAGTTAATATTTTAGAATTATCTATAATAATTTCGATCGTATATTTTATTAATCTTATTTTAAGTTGTTGTATTCCGTCGTTCTAAGGTATTCCGTCGCCGAAAGACCAATTAATCCACACTTGTCGCTAAAAAGATTTAGATTTCCACGCAATCCAAGATCCGATGTTTTGCCGAACACGTGAATTATAAGGAGTTGACCCTTCAAGCATCCGTCCATTTACTGTGAGTTTTGTCTTTACAATTATTGGTAATGCAAATTTTCTTAACTATTTTATGACTACACTTACTTACCGATTGAGTTGATATTAATATTAGGTTAAAGTATATAAATAGTTCTTAAACTTTTAAGATACTTGTATTTTGGTCACCTAACTTTTAAAATTTATAATACAATCATCAAACTTTTAGTTTATTCTTATTTTAATTTCTACCGTTATCTCTCGTTAGATTTTATTGACATGACACTTAATCCCGTTAATTTTCTGACGTGGCAACTTCTTCTTCTTCCTCTTTTTAAAATATCACTTCTCCAAATACTACTCAAACGAGATTTCACTCCCACACTCAAATCCATGAAAGAGTAAAGATTTATTCTTTTACCTGAAAATTAGAGTAACAAAAATGAATGTCCTTCATCTTTGCAGCCAAAGAAACGCAAGCAATCCAAATTAGCCTCAAAACCCATGGTTTACCTTGCTGCAAAAGTTCAAATCCAGTCAATTAAAATGCTCCAAAACAAGACAGTAAAATCCATTAACTATGAACTACTTACAGGGATATCTTGTCTAGAAATGAATTGATCCATGTAAGTAACAGCTAAATATAGAGTGTAAGGATTAAAGTTGCAAGAATACCGAACCTGACCAAAAACAAAAACAAAGTTTAAAACACAACAAAAACAATAACAAAAACTGAGTAAATCCATGGATGATAAAACAAAGGGTACCTGGAGAATGAGAGAAACGGTTTCCTGTCCGAAAGAAGCATGGAAATTATTGGTTTTCAAACACCGTAAGTAGTTGAAACAAGGGATGTGATCAGATTCTGAAGAGAAAACAGCTGAGATTGTATCTTTTTCAAGCTAGTGAAAGGGTCTTCAAGATCAAAGAACTCCATGATAAAAAAAACACTCTTGGTTTGTTTAAAGTTTGTGTTTTTGGAATAAATGTTGAGGAAAAGCCAACCTTTGTTAGAGTTGAATCCTGAAGAGAAAGAGCAAAACTCAGTTGAAGATTTTGAGTTGGGGGAATCCATATTTGCTTTGTCTGGGTCTCCGAAGAAGGAAAGGAAAAGGTGGAGAAGGAAGAGTGGAAGCCGCCAGAGATAAAGCCCAAGAACTCCCTATCTGGGGTAAAGATGGTGTCTGGTTTGGCTTCAGTAATTGAAGATAATTGACTTTTGATTTTGTTTGATCTCTTGTATTTTCCCTTTTGGGTTATTAGATAATCAAATACCATGGTACATGAATCCCCTTCTGTTTTTGATGTAAGAGTTGATCTGCTAATATGAATATGAATAAAATGGTTTAGCATGTAGAAATTTGTTCTTAACCTGCTTCCTCTTGTTCTTTCCTTGAAACTGATTCCATATCTCATTTTATTCTACTTAGTTTCTTTTTCTTCTTTAATCTGATCTGCTACAGTGATTCGTGTGCTCAGAGCATGGGGAAATCGGTAATTCACTGTCCCTTATTAATGTTTTTTCTTCTAAAAGGAATGGAATTGAATTTTATGCTGATGGAAGCAGGGTCGTGCAGTATCGAACACTGTGAGGTTAGGCCTAAGTAGGGGTGTTCAAATAATCGAATTAATTCGGTTAACCGATCGAATAATGAATTCGATTTCGGTTATCGAATTAGTTCGGTCGGTTAACGGTTAAGAAAAATTTTAGAATTCGGTTAACGGTTAATTCGGTTCGAATTCGGTTAATTAACCGAATTAACCGAAATTAAATTTTAAATATTAAATATATTATATATAACATATGGGCTCAACCCAAACCATTTAAAATCCAATTAATAATTTAAGATCTAATAACTTTTAAACATAAATCAATATTAATTAATTAAAAAAATTATATAAATTTTTTATTTTATATTTATATATTATTTAAATTAATTGTAAACTATTTTTTTAATTAAAAAATATTATATATATTATATATAACATATGGGCTAAGCCTAAACCATTTAAAACCTAATTAATAATTTAAGATCCAATAACTTTTAAACCTAAATCAATATTAATTAATTAAAAAAATTATCTGAAATTTTTATTTTATAATTATATATTATTTAAATTAATTATAAACTTTTTTTAATTAAAAAACATTTAATTTTTATATAAATTAGAAAATTTTAAAAAAAATTCGGTTAATTCAAAAATTAACCGAAATTTATTCGGTTCGGTTAACGATTAAAGAAAAAAAAATTTGATTAATTCGATTATGATTAATTCGGTTCGATTTTAACCGAATGAACAGCCCTAGGCCCAAGCTTTTTTTTTTTTGATTTACTTCTGATCTTAGTTTTGTAAATTAGAGATCTTATGTCTAAATCTCAAGTAATAGATTTTCCTTTTTTTTAATTAATAGTAACTATTTTATTTATATACAAAGAGAAACTTCGCTTTCTGTGCTAAAAAAAGAAGTTGAGGGAGTCTTCAACTTCAAGTGTGAATATTTTATTTTGAGTATTTAGAAACCGCAACCCTTGTTTAACTTATATGCATGGGCTGGTCATTGTCGTCATTGCCCATTGCCCTTGGGAAAGAAAATTACACATCAACAAAATTTAACGGGAGGTAACAATAGAGACCAAAATAAAAACGAGTTAAAAGTTTGATGATTGTATTGCAAATTTTAAAAGTTAAACCAAAATGCAAGCGTCCTAAAAGTTTGAGAATTATTTATATAATTTACCCTTAATATTATTTTATTGTTTTAAATATTATAAACTTAAATTATTTAAAGAGTAAACTATTCACTTAACCACTTGCATGATGCATATCACTATTTAATTAAAGAATTAAATTTATTTTAATTTAATAGATTTTTTTACTACCGGATGTCATTAAACAACACACAAATGAGGGCAATGGAAATTAATACTAGATTGTTTGGGCAATCAAGCATATGTGCAACCATAAAGCTAAGATCATTTTTAGTGTCAAATAGACAACATGTGGTATATATTTTGTATCTTGAGATGTATAAATACTTAACTTAAATTCAAAATAATTTATATATTTTAATTTAAATTTACATCTTACCTTTTAAAAATATATTTTATTTTTGTCTTAACTTATTAAATATATTTTATTCTTAATTTTAAAAATATATTTTATTATTATTTTAAAAATATATATTTTATTCTTATCTCAACTTCAAAATATATTTTATTCTTATCTTAACTTAAAAATATATTTTATTTTTATCTAACTTTATTTTTTAATCATCTTCTTTCTATAATTTCAGCAATCAGAGAACCTCTTCACAATTTTTATTGTTCAAGTAGTGGCCACCTTTGTTGGTTGCCTACAGTTACAAAGTGACATGTCCATGGAGTCTTCTATCTTCACTTGTAATATATATATATTGCAGAAGAGGTGAAGGAATTTTATGCATGATAATAATCAAATAAGGTAAATTATGTTTTAGGAATTGCGTTTCTTTTATTTTAAGTTGGAGAAGTGATCAATCAATCTAATGGGCTCTCCAGCATGATGGTCGACATGGTTAGGCAAGCAATTAACGAGTAAGGTAAGCTTTTTGTCAACCACATTAATGACTATTAAGATATAGTTATTGATTTGTTATAAATCGATAATGTTAATGATTAATTAATTAATTTTAAAACTTCAATAGGAAAAAACAAAAATTACTCAAATATTAGTGAACATTTGTGTAATTTACGCTTAAAAATGTAATAGAAGCTTTTAAGAAAAGTTGGTTTTAAAGATGCACGAACCAACGCACCTCAGTAGTTAAAGGAATCATTGTCGTTTCTAGAGGTCACGGGTTCGAGCACCAGTAGTAGCAGAAGAGTGATTGAGCATTCATTGTTAAATGATTGAGAGTATTTATAATATATATTACTTTGTAGTCATCTTAGCTTAATAAAAAAATACTTTAAAGAAGAAGAAAAAAAGAATAATCATTAGTGAAAACGCCAGTGTGAACCTCACAATAATCTAAATAAGGGTTTGAATTTTGGATTTAAATAATCAAAATTATAAAATATCCGTTATAATAATTTCTTTTATATATATATATACGTACGTGTGTTTTTTTTTTTTACATCAAGGAATTATATGTGATCAGCAGTTTACATTCTAAGAGTAATTTTTTTCCTTTAGCATTTGCCGTTAACAATGAAATAAGCTCCTCTAGCGGGTTTGCCAATATATTTATGTATTCTCTTGTGTACTCACCATATTTATCAGTTAATCCGCGTATTTATTTTCTTTACGTCAAACGTGTCTAAATTCACTTATATATCCTTCTTTGTGAAGCTCTTTGCAGTCAATTCACAAACATGATTACTGAGTGCTCCCCCATTTTCTGTTCGTTAAGTACCTCTACTGCTCATTTCGTGTCTACTTCGACAATGAGTTATCTCGCGTTTAAGGCCTCTGCTAGGGTAAGATCTTCTCTGACTTCCCATAATTCTACAAAAGCATTGTTTGTTCTTCTAGTTCTCATCGTGAACCCTCTTACCAAAAGTTAATATATTAACATGTATATATGATAATATATTTGCATGTGTAAACTTAATAAAAATCGGTCAATCCTTGCATTAGGTACAAGTATGGATAAATTGCCTAATGAGATTCGTATAGATGATTTCACGTCCACAACATCACAACCATGATTAAGGAAGAATTGGAAAAGACAGTTCATGTTGGAAGCGTAAATAGGTACTCAGTGAACTTTATAACTCACCCAATATTATTAATACAAACTAAAATGCAAGTACAAACACTAACTTCGACCAGTTTTTAAACTCCACTAAAGTTTTGCTAAGCTTCATTCTATTGTCTATCTCTCATTTTTTATACTTACACATATATAACTAAATTAAAACTAAAACACACATATATATATAGGAGAACTAAACCGCCTTATGATGTAGGGAAAACCTACGTTTGATTGTGGATCTATGAAGCCAGCAAACAACCTGCAAGTAAGTGAACAACTTCAAACAAGAATGACTTGGAAGGTTGATGAATGGTGATGAAGTCGGGCTTTTAAAATGATGAAATGGGGCTGATTTTGATGATTTGGCAGTGGGGAGTGGTTTATGAAAGAAAGGGATGATGATGGCGAAGATAGAATCTTGATAAATGCTCAAAGAAGAACCTATGCTAAGGAGTATAGACCTAGATTTTATATGCTCTCTCAAGGGGTGGTAAACTAAAGACTTGGACCCATTAGATATAAAGATCTAGGAACCACAAGTATCAATGAAAATATAAAGGTGTTGACGCCACAAGTATTGGTACTTGATAAGTTAATAAAGTCTCAAAAGGACTAAGGAAAAAGAGATAACTCACACACTTGTATATATGATCAAAGGATGATGTTTTACAAAAGAAATGCCCAAGTATTTATAAGAAATCAAGAGGTTTATCCGAATGACTACATACTGGTTCGGCAAGCCTTTGTTTCCTAACATAAAGACATAATTAATTGTTTACAAAGGAATTTGAATGGTGATGTTGTTTCGGTTTGAATCAAGAGTCATTGTGCTTGGCCGAATATCGATAAATCCTTCATTTTGGCGCCTAAGTGAATGGAAACAATGTTTTGGCCTAATGGTGCGCCTTTTGAAGTTTAACGCCTAAATGCTTGCACAAGATGTGCACATGCTTGGCGAATGCATAAAACAACCTCCTTACTTGCACATAACCTTCCACGCCTTAGGATGTAGGATAAGCTTGATGCACATTATTCTCCACGCCAAGGTTTGATGTCATGCTCGACCAAGATGCTCGCTTGGTGTTCATGGTGCTTAGATGAGTGTTAGCTAGGTAGCTAGGTAAGTGTGAGATAAGAGAACTTGACCAGCTAGCTAGTGATACTTTTAGCTACATCGAACTTGAGTTCAACGTCTAATAATTCCTCGGATACATAGCAACTGAATTTACGTCAGAAACTGAACTTAATCAGAAAACCAAATTTGATTCAAAAGATAAATCACTGAAAAACGGCTTACCAAGTGTGAATTTGGCAAAACAGACTTCATATTCGGACTCATGACGTCGAAAAACAAAAAATAGGACTTTTCAAAATTTTTGACTTTTCGGTCAAAGTTAACGTGTCAAAGTCAATGATTTGACTCAGATGAGTTGACTCGAATGAGTTGACTCGGTCTGGTCAAACAAACCCAGTTCAGACCGGTTTGACTGGACTAGTTCGGTCCGGCTGGACCGGCGGATGAATCCTACGCGCACTGTCGGGCCGTGGAGGCGTGTGCGGTGGCGACAAGGGCCGTTGAGGCTACCCGATTACTCTAAAAGCATCCATACATCCAAAACAACCAAATTAATTCCAAACCCAAAAATCATGATTGAAATGACCATAAAAGTGACCGATGACTTACCCACGGTGGCCGAACGGAGCAGCGACGGTGAGGTGACGATCCTTACCGGGTTCTGGTCAAACTCACTTATGGAAAGCAACGTTGAGGGTGGTGAGGTGAGACGGCCACCGGATCGACCGAAAAAACGTGAGAAATCGAGGCGATGGAGGTGGGTTTCGGTGAAGCTTTGCAATGAACTTTTACGGCGAACAACGCCAAGGTTCGGTGTGAAGAGGCTCGAGTTTTGATCACCGGTCGATGGCTAGTCAGATCAGGGTAGTGGTGTGCTCAATGGCAATCGGACGACGATGGATTTGGTGGAGACGGAAAGCGGCGGGTTGAAGCTAGGGTTTGGGAAATTGGGGATTTTGTTTACTCAACTGGGGGTTTATTTTTCACTAACTAGTAAAAATGGTAGAATTCCAAGTTTAGCTGATGAACTCCCTAAAAGTTCAAATCTAGACTGCAAGGTTTCGAATCTTTCATTTTAGTCCCTAATTTCATTAAAAGTGGGGTGTTACAATATATCTTTTTGAGACGATAGACTCATTAAGTGATAGATAACCTAGATTTGCCAAACATAACTGTATGGTTCATGCTGCTCACTATTGCAGTTCTTCCCAATCATCGTCCTTCATCGATTCTAGCTTTTGAGCTCGTAGAGCCTTCAAAATCCCTTGTTGTGCCAACAAATCCTTTACCCTCATTTGCCATAATCCGAAGTTACCATGACCATTAAACTTCACCACTTCAAATTTCGCACCTGACATAGCCATCTCAAACCTTGCTCTTGATACCAATTGTTGGGGAAAACGTGCTAATTAACTTAGGAAACCAACAAAAAGTAAAGAAAATAAAGAATACAAGATTTAACGAGATTCGACAATGTGCCTACGTTCTCGGGAGCAATGAGCCGATGTTCTCTTTATTATTTGCAATAATCCAAAATTGGGTTGCAATTACAGTATATAAGAGTAACTCCGGTACAATTACAAAAATACCATGTACCGTATTGCGAGAGCAAAGCCCCCGCACCTATGGACAGATGCTGGAGCGGATTGAGCCATACCTAACAATAATCTAAACGAAGCAATGAAAAGAATAACAAAAAGAAGAGATATAAGAATAAGGAGAGAGAACTCTATTCTTATCATATGAGTTGTGAACAATGCTTTCTTTGAACTCCATATTTATAAGGAGGTGATATCACATAAAACTCTTAATAGATATTAAAGTCCTAATAATAAAGTATATCAAACCTCTATCTTGTAAATAAAGATAAACAACCACAAAAATAAATATTCATAATAGATTTAGGTTTAATGTGCTAAAGACTTGTCTGAATAAAGCATTTAACTATTTTAATAATATATATATATATATATATATATATATATATATATATATATATATATATATATATATATTAATTTTATAATTTTTGTGGTTTTAGTTTTTTATTTATTTTTAAAGATATTCAAATAATATTCTATTAAGTATCTCTTAGTATTTATGTTTTTAATATTTTTTAAAAATATTTTTTTAATTTTATTTTTTCCTTAATGATAAAATAAATCATTAAATCAAGATGTATTAGTTGATCGAATGACCAAAAATGTTTACATTATTTCACTGTGTACGAGTTTCAACCCCAAAATTTACCTTATGAAAGATAAACACCTCTAAACCCATCAAGAGGATACGTATGCATTATTAATTAATTAAGAAAACTCGAAACATATACTATTTTGCTATCACCCAGATTATTAAAAAAATTATATACTAATAAAAAAATTCATATTTTCTATAACAAGAATAAATTTTGTAATTTTTTTGAAAAGCTTAACCCCCACTGCGTACCAGTTGATCTTGGAAAGGAGATGGTATAAACTAGTGTAAGGATCAATAAAACCGTCTAATAAAAGATAAATCCATCAAAAGAAGCGTTACAATCACAAACGCGTTGATCAACAAGAACGCTTGCCAATAGACACTAACCAAAACAAAAACGCTTTCGAATGCAGCATAAACATGAGTTATTACAAATTACTAATTACGGGCACAATAAAATAAAATAGGAAAAACGTGGGGAGAAGTTGAGGCATTCCCTGGGTTCACAAGGGCTCTGCACTGTAATCAACCACATCTGATCTCCCTTCAAGATAACGCATTCCATTGGTTCATAAGTTGTAGACAAGAAACGGCAGTAACAGCCATCGCCAATCACAACATTTCTTGTGATCGCCGGACGCAGCGGCCAACCTTTCTCTTGAATTCATCTTTCCTATCTCTCCATTCCTTCTGCCAGTATCAACGACAAGTATTGATTAAAAAAACACAGGAAAACATGATGGTGCATGAATTCAATTCCTTGGTTTTACAATCTCAACAGTCTACCAATGTCAAACAACTTCAGATTCATTAGTATTCACATGATTCTATGATAGAGCGATATGCTGACCACCATAGTGGTTTGATGATATCCCAGAGTAACAAAATGGCATGGATTTAACTAGGTAAAGAATACTATGTTAATTCACTAAAAATCCAAGTGCCATTTTAATCAATGATAAACCGAGCTTGATAAAAATAAGCATTTTAAAGGGAGTTTCATAACACTAGAGTCCATAGTAGAAGGCTGGACGCCATGTTATGGCATCAAATATTCGGAAGTAACATCACATGCAACCACAGAAATTAATAAATCATACTGAAGGGAGAAATGCAACTAGGAAGCCGAATAAGAATCAACGAAACCAAAAAGCCTAACTAAAACAAAAAAAAGGGAATAATTTAATCAAGAATTTCAACAATCACTTACAGCAGCTTCAACATTTGCAGGAGATTCGTCGTTAGGGCTGGAAAGCATTGATATTATACTCAATACAATACTTTCAACCTGCCATGTTGTAATGATATACATTTATTAAAGCACTATCATAGTGTCAAGATAAAAGGAGAGAAAGGACAACAGTAAGGAACAGGTTGTCCATATATTAAAGTAATTGATGTTTGAGCAATTTGAAATCTATAGCACTATGAATGTTATTGGCACTTGAACAGGAAAAAATATAATAAATAAGTAAAACAATAAAAAGACAATTCAAGCATAATAGAAACTTCACAAACATACTGTATGGACCGGTGTCCAGCGCTCACTTGCAAGTTCATAGCCATTTGGATCATCACCAGGAGGATGAAGAATAGAAATGCAAACACGCCCATCAGGATAAACTGCAAAAACATTAACGATCGTATTAATTCTTGCATTAGACAAAGGCACAAGATTATGAACAGACAAAGGTATACCATTAGGATGCCAAATCTCTGTTGCAAATTTCACTGTTGGAGGACTGTTTGGATAATTAGGCGGAAAGCTCATGATGGCATTAAAAAATCCTCCTTCACTGAAATTAGAATATTTATGTTCAAGAACATTAATGAACAAAAATCATAAAGTCACATGGTATGCCATAAGGAACTCAATTCCATATCAAGATTACTTGAAGACAAAGTATTAAAAAGAAAATAAGCAGTGGGAAGGTAAGATACATTAGAGAGGAAAGTTAAGACACATTGGAATGGAACTTATTCTAGCAGTAGACACATATCATTCTTGAGAAGCGTTTGCAATTAAACAATTTCCAAAAGCACAAGGACGAAAACTTTTGCCAGTCATAACCAACAACCTCCAAAGAGAAGCTAAGAACCTACCATTTATTATTCTCCCTTGAACCAAATCCACAAGAATCAGGTCTTAATGATTCATATATAGAGGCTTTCAGCATCCCTTACCCATAGTCATTCCATATAAAAAGTGAAAATGAACAATTTGTTTGTATCTATTTCCGTGTGCAACCAATTCAAAAATCTAACTGAATGGGGATTGGCAACACAATCACTAGGTAGACTCAAAACCATATATTCCAAACCTTACAGCCACCTAGAGCTCAAGAAAGAGATTCAATTTAGAACCCATAATTCCATTCGGATTCAATAGAGGACCCTTAAATCAACTATGGCATCAATTAAAATCCAGCCAAGCCAATCTAATTTCAAGACCCTAATCCCTATCAAGAATTAATCTCCTTATCCAATGTTACACACAAAATCCAAATCAAAGAATCCATAAGAAACAACTAATTTCAACAAAATAAAAAGAAACTTTACCAGCAAAAAAGAAAAGAAAAAAAAACTTACTAAAGAGTATCAGGCGGTCCAATAATTGTAACACTCCATTCAAAGATATTGTTCTCATCAACCAATCCGGCAGAGAACCCATCAACCGGATTCTTACAAAGATCTAGCCAAAACACATAAATTAGAACCCGTTTCAAAATCCACCCAAATCCTCAAAAAGCAAATAGTATTAAGAATCATTAAATTTAAAATCGATCAAAGAAAAGGAGTACCTTTGAGCTGTTTTTGAAGGAGGAGGCTGGCTTGAGATGCCATATAAACAATAGAGGGTTCTAGAGAGCTGAGAAAGCCCTGCGATTTGAAGAAGAAAATTTGGAGGAAATTAAAAGCCGACACTTCGTTGCTATTTATAGATGTGTCAAAAATCGATTTTGTTTGTGCTGCTCCTTTTGTGTCAAAAATAAATATTTAGAAAATAAAATCTAATTTTACTTTTGTTGAAAACTTTAGGGTAAATTAAATGTTTAGTATATAAACTATTAATTTTAGTCTGTTTTAATATCTAAACTTTATTCTTTTTCAAAATTATATCTAAAATTTAATTTTTGTTTCAATTTAGTACATGTTCAAAATTTAACGTAAGTTTTGAAAAAAAATTAAAAGTTTAAGTATTAAAACAGACCAAAATTGGTAGTTTAGGTATTAAACGAGTTAAGTTGGTTCTTCCCAATTTGCTTTCATCCTGGGTGGGCAAATTATGGATTGCTCCTTTATCGCAAAAGAGGGGATTGATTGTTGGTGGAGAAAATGCCTTGAAGGAGTTGCGTTTAAGGTTGACTTTAAAAGAGAGTATAATTCAATTTATTGGAGTTTACTATTGAAAATAGTGGATTGCATGGGATTTGGTCGGAAGTGGGGATCGTGGATGACTATGTGCTTTTCTACGGCTTCCATCTCGATGTTGGTGAATGGTTCTCCTTTTGATGAATTTTGGATTGTGAGGGGTCTACGTTAGGGTTGCTCTCTTTCTCCACTTTTATCTAATTTGGTTGGTGAACTATTGAGCTTGATGTTGTCAAAGACTGTGAGGTTAGGCTTGTTTAAAGGTTTTCAGATTGGGAGTCCGTGAGATTCTTTCGAGCTCTCTCATTTTCAATTCGCTGATGATCTGTTATTTTTTTTGCAATGCTTCAGTTGGGGAGTTGAAGAATGTGAGGAGGGTGCTTATGATCTTTGAGTTGATGTTGGGGCTGCAGATTAATCTTTCGAAGAGCAGATTATTTGGTATTAATGTGAATGACGAGGTCATTAGTGAGTAGGCTACAACTATAGGGTGCTCTGTGGGTTTGTTCCCAATGGATTATTTGGGTTTACCTCTTGGGGTGAAGAAAAATTCAGTTTCCCTATGGAATCCAGTTATTCAAAAGTTTTATAAAAAAATGACGGGGTGGAAGTCAACCTCACTATCCATCGTTGGAAGAATTGTGTTGATAAAGTCGGTTCTTTGCTCTTTACCAATTTACTTCATGTTGATTTTTAGATTTCTGAGGTGTATTATGAAGATACTTAATTCAATCATGGAAAGGTTTCTTTGGAGGGAGTCGGGAATGAAAAACAGAATTCATTGGGTAAATTGGGAGACTGCTTGCAAGCCTAAGGCTTTGGGAGGGCTCGAGGTTCCAAATCTCGATCTTATGAATAGAGCTTTATTGGGTAAATGGACTTGGAAGTTTTCTAATGAGAAGAATTCCTGGTGGAAAAGGATAATTTGTTGTAAAAATAATATTGTCCCGAAGTCTATGGGGGTGGAGAGTTCGACCTCTTATAAAGCTTATTGGATTTGGAATGGGGTTGTGAAGAATTGTTGCTCAAAGGATGAGTTTGGAGTATGTTTGCGGAGCGATTTTTAACTTAAGGCGGGCAAGGGGGACTCAATCAAGTTCTGCCATGATGCTTGGTTGGACGGAGTTCCATTGAAGATTTGGTTCCCTCGTTTTTTCACATTATCAAAGAATAAGGAGGGGAAGATTGCTGATTTCTGGACATCTAACTTGTCAGGATGCTTTTGGGATATCTCCATAAGAAAAAACTTAGCTGATTGAGAGATGTTTCAATAGAATGAGCTTATGGCTTTGTTGTATAACTTCAGTCCTACGCCTTTGATTGATGATAGTCTAGTATGGATAGAAGAATGAGATGAGTTCTTTTCAGTGAAATCTTGCCTTAAATTTTTTCTTAGTAGAGTTTTTGATTGTTTTTCGTGGGAAAAAAACGTATGGGCTGGTGCGGCTCCTCCTCGAGTTGAATCTTTTATTTGGCAAGTGGTACACAAGAAGATTGTTGTTAAAGTAGAGTTAATAAAATGTGGGGTGCAAGGTATAGAAGATCCATTGTGTCCATTATGTGGGTTGGTTCAAGAAACGATTTCCTACATTTTCTTCTCTTGCAATATGTCTTGGGGGGTTTGGGCTAGCTTTTTGCGTCGTTGGGAGGTTTCCTTTGCAATTACGGAGTGTCCTATAGCTTTTTTTTCCTGTTTGGACGGATCTTGTACCCAAATTAAGTGTTTGAGGTTTATCCTAAGAGTCGTTTTGTGGTCGATTTGGAAAATGAGAAATGATATTATTTTTAATAATGAGAAATTGGATTATGTTCTATTATCTTTTCTATCGAGGTACAAAGTGGCAGCTTGGTTTTCTTCAAAATTTCCAAATCTGACAATCTCCTTTGATAGCCTTGTAATATCCCAAATTTTGAAATGGTGATTAGAATGTAAATTTTTAAAGATTAGAGACTAAAGTGTAAAGTTGTAAAAGTTTAAGGACTAAAAATATAAAATTTCAAAAGTTAAATTTTTGGAATTTTGAATTAGTAGTTTAGCTCAATACAATTAGTTTAGAGAGTTTCAGAATTTGATCTGGAGTTTGCATACAAGTTTATTAAAGGATAAAGATCAGTATATTATTCGAATAACCGGATTGAATCAGAAGGTTACAAAAATTTGAAGGAAGGTAGACTTGGGCTGGAAAATTAGATGGATATTTTTAATTAGTGGAGTTTAAGTTGGATTGGTGTAATTTGGTGAGAATTGCACTATAAATTGAAATAGTGCAATTTAATGACTAAAATGAAATATGGGAAAATTGGAGGGTCAAAAAAGAAAAATTGAGAGATGATAATTTTACAGCTTTTTAATATTATTAAAATAGAGATGAAGGAATGGCATGGGTGTAATTTTGGGAATTTATTAAGGGTAATTTTGGTATTTGGCCCAAAAGGAATAAAAAATTATTTAATTAGTTTTAAATGTTAATAATTGGAGACTTTTTTTTAGAATTCTCGTGAAACTCTCTTATTTTCTCCAACAACTGGACGAAACTCCATAGCCAAGGTAAGCAAGTTATTTTTTCATTTTTGGTCCTTTTTAGTGAGAATTTGGACTAAAGTGTGAAATAAGAAAATGTTCTACACTTAATTTTCTACAAATTGGTATAGTTATTTCATTGTTGCATGCTTAAATGGTGAAGTGGGTATTTATGGTGCATGAAGGGGAAGTTATATTTGGTTGAAATAAGATTGGATTTTGATGTAGGGAGTGTTATGGAAGCATAAACAAGTATAAAAGTTGATTAAAAATCACTAAGGGACTAAGTTGAAAGCATTCGGTCATGGTGGGTTTGAATGAAGAAATGTTGATTTTGATTTGTTTTTGTTATGGGAATGATTAGAATGAATGGAAATGAGTTGTAGGTGATGAAACCAAGCTTAAAAAAACTTTGAGACCATTAAGGAAATTCTTTAAAAGTTTCGGCCTTAAGGAAGAAAAATAGGAAAAATTATACAAAATTCTATTTAAGGCTTAGAATGGATGTAGAAATGATTTCATGTGACTAGAATTAAGTTTTGGATCAAATTGGAGTAATGTTAAGTTTTTTAGACTAATTTGCAAAGTTTGAGAAATTAAAGGATAAAGATGTGAGTTTTTGAAAATTTAAGTATTGTGCTGGAAATTTTGTTAGAATGTTGAATTGGGGTTAAATTAGTAGATAGTTTGAGATTAAGGATCAATTTGAAGGCTTGGGAAAAGACTAGTAACGAAATGATAAAAATATAAAGTTGAAGTGCTAAGTTGGAAGTTGTGAAGAATGGTGAATATGGTGATTAATTTAGGATTTAAAGTGATCATGAAGGGATTAATTTGAGGAGAAGATATATAATTTATTAAAATTATAGAAATTATTATCGATTATATTATGGTTGTTTTTTTAGTAAATGCATATTTATATGTTAGTTAGATACTAACATATATCTTGAACTTTTATTTGTTCGGATAAATTAATTCTCGGATAGACTGTGATCACAAATCAAGTCAAAGCGAGCAAAAAGAAAGAGACAAAGGATTGGAGTGAAAGCAAAACCGACACTAAGATTTACTAGTGAGGCAAAGGTGAGTGCATTTAATTCATGTTTGAATTATCGTACAAATATTGGCTTGCGATGAGCCAGTGACGGAGTTACTACAATAAAAAGTGACTCCTAATGTTATGTGAATTATGATTCTAGACTAAAGGTTCATTTATTAAGCTTTGAAAATTATGAAATTTAGCAAAAACTGCTAATTAAGGAAAGTTGTCTAGAAATTTGAATTTGGACAGTGAGTTTAGAAATTCACCATAAATTATAAAGAATTTATTAGAGGATGATATCTATACCGTTAGATTATTATATCAGTCTAGTTTCGTTTAAAACAAACGGTGACTGATTTCAAGATGTATAAAAATAGATATGATTTTTTAATCAATGATAGATTAGAAAACAGGGCAGAAGAATTCTGCCGAAACAGCTTATATCAGTCAACTTTGAAAATTCACTATAAATTGTACAAGTGGAACTAGATGGAGTTCTTTATATGGTTAGAATCGTATTCAAGTCTAGTTTCATTAGTGCAAAAAAAATAATTTTTCAGTATATAAATTAATACAAAATAATATTTGTTTGAAGGTAGTATAAACTGTCATAATATAAAATTTTGATAAAATGTATATTGAAAGTAGTGAAAGGCAAATGATTTAAATCTAAAGCTTAGTGAAGCTTATATTTTGATTTTAAATAATAGTAATAAAGTGTTAAAGTGAATCCAGTTTGTTTATTTGATTATTTTTATAGTCAAAGACGACTTGCGATAAGTCAACATCGTTTTATTTTCTAGTATGATTTATAAAATTTCAGTATGGAATATTTCTATAATATTTTGTTTTATCAGGTTTTATGAATGATTTTGGGTATCAACTGCCCAAGTATGATATTTAAGATGATGAATTCTAAATGTTTATAGTTATCAAATGATTTTCAGTTATCAGATGATTTATAGTTATCAGATAATTATAAGGC